ATCCAAATCTAGTCCGCGTCTCTGATAGCTGAAAGAATCAGAAGCTTTCAAGGTGTTCTGAGCGAAGTAATACCTCGTACCTCAGCAATCATGGTTTCCCATCCGGGTTGGACATATTGGCTTACACCTCGCAGAGAACATTCTCCTTTCCTGGAAAGCAATGGCATCTTGAAGAACAAAAATTAATTGTTATAGATGGAATAGATTACATGTTTAGGTCAAGACGAGCGAGACCGAGTTTTTTTTCCACATTTGGCCTCTTGCTGGTAGCAAGAACGAGTTTTGCCAATGATTCGAGATCATAGTCGTAGGTCTAGAAAAATTAGCTTTTCATAGTAAGATGATGTTTGAGCGTTAACGATGCTATGGTTACTAGGAATTACTATAGGTGAATAATCTTTCTTGGTAACATATCTTGGAACAAAGCTGCTTGTACTTACGAACTGCCGAATCGCCAGTGCCTGAAACTTCTTGGTGATTACAGATCTGAGGTATGTATCTAGATCTGTGTCCCCTAAGCAGCGAGAGCACCATCGATCTTTTTTTCCCTGCTTTGGTGAAGAGCATACCAGAGCTATTAGCAGCTAAATTTTTAAACTAATAAGGCTCTCGTGCAGTTGTCTATGACACTTACTCCAAAAAGAGTACAGTAGCGAAGCATTGTCTTTTGCAATGGCCGCCCACTAAGCGCTTTTATGCCACCCGAGAGAAAGAGTATCGTAAGCAGATTTTCAAAAAAAAAACCAACTCTATCAGCCATGCGTTCAGATTTTTAATTCTTTAAGAGAACTTGGGAAAAAAATTATTGGAGAGTCAATGTCATTGAAATATATTGCTTTGTTGTAGTCGTCTTCGTCTGTTGATGCAACAATTTGTAGCTTATGGAGCCTTTAAGATAGTAATTTATAAATTGAGACCGTTGGACGTATAGTATAGTAGTACGTACAAAATTAAGGCAAAACAAGTGCAGAGGGGGGAAAGCATGCAACATTTATCCCTTCCGCAATCTATTTCTTTCATAATTTTTGAAGCTCAAAATAAGTAAAAGCCTAATTTGTGTTGCTTATCTTTATGCAGTGTTTTCAGTCTCTGGGTGTAATAAGATACCATATTTGAAATATCGAACCAAATTTTTCTTACAAGATTCATTTCTATATTAGAAATTCAAAGTTAGAATATTACACAATTGTTCAATGCTTTTTGATGCTATATTCTAGTTCTTTCAAGCAAGAGTTTTTCAAGGCTCTAAAAAAAGATAATGACAGTTAAAGTTGACAATCCACCTTATCAACAGTCGTCA